CCGGCTCATGGCCCAAGTTTCGGGCTCGATCCGAAATCAATAGGTGTAAGAAATTGGAAAATTCAAGTTCAAAGGCAGTTCGTTTCTAATTGGAGTGGTTGGTGTATTGGGTAGTTCTAGAGATTGGATTTCACTCAAAATTCACGAAATGACTCCTCCAACCACATTACGATGTTGCCCAAGTTTTGGGCTCGATCCGACATGAATAGGTGTAAGAAATTGGACAATTCAAGTTCAAAGGCAGTTCATTCCTAATTGGAGCGGTTGGTGTATTCCATAGTTCTAGTGGTCGGATTTCCCTCAAAATTCACCAAATGACTACTCCCACCATATTGTGATGATGCCCAAGTGTTGGTCACGATCAAAAATCAGTAGGTGTAAGAAATTGGACAATTCAAGTTCAAAGGCAGTTCGTTCCTAATTGGAGTTGTTGGTGTATTCCATTGTTCTAGAGATCGGATTTCACTCAAAATTCACCAAATGAGTCCTTCCACCATATTATGGTGTTGCAACAGTTTTAGGCTCGATCCGAAATCAGTAGGTGTAACAAATCGGACAATTCAAGTACAAAGGCAGTTCGTTCCTAATTGGAGTGGTTGATGTATTGGACAGTTATAGAGATCGGATTTCACCCAAAATTATCCAAATGTCTCCTCCCACAATATTATGATGTTGCCCAAGTTTTGGGCTCGATCCGAAATCAATTGTTGTAAGAAATTGGACAATTCAAGTTCAAAGGCAGTTCGTTCCTGATTGGAGTGGTTGGTGTATTGGTTAGTTCTAGAGATCGGATGTACTTAAACAAAATACTCTGCCCACCATATTATGATGTTGCCCAAGTTTTGGGCTCGATCCGAAATCAATTGGTGGAAGAAATTGGACAATTCTTATTCAAAGGCAGTTCGTTCCGAATTGGAATGGTTTGTGTGTCCCATAGTTCTAGAGATCGGATTTCACCCAAATTTCACCAAATGACTCCTCCCACCATATTACGATGTTGCCCAAGTTTTGGAAAATTCAGGTTGAGGGGCAATTCGTTCCAATTTATTGGGTAGTTCTATCGATCGGATTTCACTCCAAATTCACCAAATGACTCCTCCCACCATATTATGATGTTGCCCATGTTTTGGGCTCGATCCGAAATCAAAAGCTGTAAGAAATTGGACAATTCAAGTTCAAAGGCAATTCGTTCCTAATCGGAGTGGTTGGTGTATTCCACAGTTCTAGAGAACGGATTTCACTCAAAATTAAACAAATGACTCCTCCCACCATATTATGATCTTGACCAGGTTTTGGGCTCGATCCGAAATCAATAGGTTAAAGAAATTGGACAATTCAAGTTGAAGGGCAGTTCGTTCCTATTTGGAGGGGTTGGTGTATTCCATAGTTCTAGATTTCGGTTTTCACTCAAAACTAACCAAATGAGTTCTCCCACCATATTATGATGTTGCCCAACTTTTGGGCTCGATCCGAAGTCGATTGGTGTATGAAATTGGACAATTCAAGTTCAAAGGCAGTTCGTTCCTGATTGGAGTGGTTGGGGTATTGGTTAGTTCTAGAGATCGGATTTACTTAAACAAAATCCTCTGCCCACCATATTATGATGTTGCCCAACTTTTGGGCTCGATCCGAAGTCGATTGGTGTATGAAATTGGACAATTCAAGTTCAAAGGCAGTTCGTTCCTGATTGGAGTGGTTGGGGTATTGGTTAGTTCTAGAGATCGGATTTACTTAAACAAAATCCTCTGCCCACCATATTATGATGTTGCCCAACTTTTGGGCTCGATCCGAAGTCGATTGGTGTATGAAATTGGACAATTCAAGTTCAAAGGCAGTTCGTTCCTGATTGGAGTGGTTGGGGTATTGGTTAGTTCTAGAGATCGGATTTACTTAAACAAAATCCTCTGCCCACCATATTATGATGTTGCCCAACTTTTGGGCTCGATCCGAAGTCGATTGGTGTATGAAATTGGACAATTCAAGTTCAAAGGCAGTTCGTTCCTGATTGGAGTGGTTGGGGTATTGGTTAGTTCTAGAGATCGGATTTACTTAAACAAAATCCTCTGCCCACCATATTATGATGTTGCCCAACTTTTGGGCTCGATCCGAAGTCGATTGGTGTATGAAATTGGACAATTCAAGTTCAAAGGATGTTCGTTCCTAATTGGAGTGGTTAGTGTATTGGGTAGTTCTAGAGATCGGATTTCACCCAAATTTCACCAAATGACTCCTCCCACCATATTACGATGTTGCCCAAGTTTTGGATAATTCAAGTTGAAGGGCAGTTCGTTCCAATTTATTGGGTAGTTCTATCGATCGGATTTCACTCCAAATTCACCAAATGACTCATCCCACCATATTATGATGTTGCCCATGTTTTGGGCTCGATCCGAAATCAAAAGCTGTAAGAAATTGGACAATTCAAGTTCAAAGACAATTCGTTCCTAATCGGAGTGGTTGGTGTATTCCACAGTTCTAGGGAACGGATTTCACTCAAAATTCACCAAATGACTCCTCCCACCATATTATGATCTTGACCAGGTTTTGGGCTCGATCCGAAATCAATTAGTTAAAGAAATTGGACAATTCAAGTTGAAGGGCAGTTCGTTCCTATTTGGAGGGGTTGGTGTATTCCATAGTTCTAGATTTCGGATTTCACTCAAAATTAACGAAATGACTACCCCCACCATATTATGTTGTTGTCCAAGTTTTGGGCTCGATCCGAAATCAATAGGTGTAAGAAATTGGACAATTCAAGTTCAAAAGCAATTCGTTCCTAATTTGTGTGGTTGGTGTATTTGGTAGTTCTAGAGATCAGATTTCACTCAAAATTCTCCAAATGACTCCTCCCACCATATTATGATGTTGCACAAGGTTTGGGCTTGATTCGAAATCAACAGGTGTAAGAAATTGGACAATTCAACTTCAAAGGCAGTTCGTTCCTAATTGGAGTGGTTAGTGTATTGGGTAGTTCTAGAGATCGAATTTCATACAAACTTAACCAAATGACTCCTCCCACCATATTATGACGTTGCCCAAGTTTTGGTCTTGATCCGTAATCAATTGGTGTAAGAAATTGGACAATTCAGGTTCAAAGGCAGTTCGTTCCAAATTGGAGTGGTTGGTGTATTCCACAGTTCTAGATTTCGGATTTCACTCCAAATGTGCGAAATGACTCCTCCCACCATATTATAATGTTGCCCAAGTTTTGGGGTCGATCCGAAATCAATAGGTGTAAGAAATTGGACAATTCAAGTTCAAAAGCAATTCGTTCCTAATTGGTGCGGTTGGTGTATTGGGTAGTTCTAGAGATCGGATTTGACTCAAACTTAACCAAATGACTCCTCCCACAATATTATGATGTTGACCAAGTTTTGGGCTCGATCCGAAATCAATAGGTGTAAGAAATTGGACAATTCAAGTTCAAAGGCAGTTCATTCCTAATTGGAGTGGTTGGCGTATTGGTTTGTTCTAGAGATCGGATTTCACTCAGACTTAGCCAAATGACTCCTCCCACCATATTCTGATGTTGCCCAAGTTTTGGTCTTGATCCGTAATCAATTGGTGTAAGAGATTGTACAATTTAAAGATTGGAGGCCAAGCTCCATATATTCTTGCCCTTGGTAAACCCAAGTTCTGCAGTTATTATTCCCCCACTCTAAGACTAGGTTTCGACTGGAAAAATGCATGTGTACTATGCCTTTGTAATTCCAAGTTTTGTGGTCATGATCTTTAACATTGTGGGATAGGGACTATGATCTAATATGGTGGAATTCCCAAGCACTATGCCAATTGTTGCTTGATCTTCTCAAAGTCATCAATCTTCCTTTACAAAAGAAACAAAACAAGGAAATGCCAATGGTCAAAAAGATGCCAAAACCAAGAGAATTTAAATATAAAGAATATATAGAGACCAAAAACAAACAATTTTCGATAACACAATTACAAGAAATCTTGCACAAACCCATTAGAAAACATAAATCATAAAATCCAAAGTATAATCCACACCTTAACCAACATGGGTTGCATAACTTCTCAACACAATACAAAACATGTATTCCATTTTAATACCCTTAAACAAACAACACCACAATGACATTGACAACCACTATAGTTGTTAATAAGAAAACAAGTGCTAATGAGAAGAAGAGGTTCTTACCTCAAATGGTCCTCTGTCCAAAACCCCAAACCAAATCCTTCCACCTCCTCAAATAATCTCATATGCAAAAACAGAATATTACCTTAGTAAAGTTAGACTCCTAAATGGCATTGTTCTAAACACATTATAAGATAAAGAGAACCACAAACCCAAATAAGGCAATCGCTCATTGGTTTTAATATTTTCAATGCATATAGAAACACTGAATGACAACTTTTTCAGTTTCCACTAGAATACAATGCAGAATTGAAATAAAAAGAGATCTAAATGTAGAAAAACAGGATTGAATTGAAATAAAATAACATGAAAAATGCTTTAAAAGTGAAAACACAAGCTAACAGAGTATGATCCTAGTGAAAAACTAGAATTCTTTATCATATTTTCAAGCCTACGAGACACAGTTTTCTTCAGCACATAGCACGACCTTCCTAATTTTCTAGGCACTTCAATTTGGTCTTCAACCATTGCTAAGCAAAAAGACAATTCAACAAATAGAGTATGGAGTAGTTTTCAGTAAATCATAGATGACCAAATAAATATTTTGTTAAACAATTTGGGCAGAAACACTTCAATTTGGGAAATTCACTAAAAATTCAAATTTGAGTCAAAATGGTGCGAAACTTTACAGATCATAACTAGACACATGAAACTTCCTCACATAAAAATTTCATGGCATTCGAAATTAAGGAAGCATGTCAAAAACAAAATCTAAAACAGACTAGGCTGTAGAGTTTTCTGCTTCCTGCAACATAACAACTACTTTGAAAATTTGCCAAAAATTCAATTTAACTCCAATTTGTATGGAACCAGTTTTCAAATGCTCATTGACATGTCTAATTATTAAAAAACCAGATCAAAATATAAATCCAAACTAGGTCTTCTGGTCCAGAACATAACACAAAATCACAGATTTCTGCATAACCTCAGATTTCATAAACCAACCCAAATCTTAAAATTCAACACTTATCAGCTTTAAACATCAAACACTAAATCATTCAAATGTGACTATTTACTATTGAAAGAGTATTAATCTAAAATGACCAACTACAATGGAAAAAAACAAAAACAAAGGCAGAGCTTAAATTGAATAACCACCTGTGAAATTTTTACAACAAAAACCACAATCGCAGGTGCAACAATTACGCAGCTTCTCCTGCACTAAACAACATGGCTAAATAGAAAAAACTCTAAAAGAAATACAAAGTGTCTATAAAAAAAAAAATGGAAAATTTGATATATCATTGAAGAAACAAGACTACAGTGCAATATTGAGTTACAAAGCACAACCAAGTAAAGAAAGGGAAAACAGAGGAAAATGCAACTACAAAAACAGAGAGAGAGAGAGAGAGAGGGGGGGTTGTCAAAACCTGATTCCATTCCACATCTATGTACCCAACCAATTCAATAGAAAATTAAGTTCTAAAAAAAAAAAAAAGACTTAAAAATTTCATCACCATGAAAAACAGAGAAAAGTACACATGAGTTTTCAGTATAAAGAACCATTGTCAAGATATACGAACTCAACTGCACTAGAATTTTTAACAAATAAAACCACATAAAGAATACATACCAAGAACGAGATACAATTGGGCATGAGCCATGACCTTTGCTATTACAGGTCTGAAAACACTTGAAAAATCAGTTTCAATCTCCTTCAACCACCAAAAAAAAAAACCCAACAGGCACCAGATCTAACATTAAAACCTTCAATGAACCATAAATTGAAACTGTATATGAAAGAAAATTGATGAAATTGAAACTCTATTGGCGACCAACTCTATTGGCGACTCTATTGGCGACCAACTCTAGAAATTTGGTTGCAGAATCACCCTATCAGCGACCAACAATAGTTCGTCGCTGATAAGTTTGGTCGCAAAAGGGTAATTTTCTTGTAGTGGGATTTCACCCAAAATTCCCCAAATGACTCCTCCCACCGAATTACGATGTTAACCAAGTTTTGGGCTCGATTCGAAATCAATAGGTGTAAGAGATTGGACAATTCAAGTTGAAGGGCAGTTCGTTCCAAATTGGAGTGGTTGGTGTATTGGGCAGTTCTAGCGATCGGATTTCACTCAAAATTCACCAAATGACTCCTCCCACCATATTACGATGTTGCCCAAGTTGAGGGCTCGATCCGAAATCAAAAGATGTAAGAAATTGGACAATTCAAGTTCAAAGGCAGTTCGTAACTAATTGGAGTGGTTGGTCTATTGGGTCGTTCTAGAGATCGGATTTCACTCAAACTTAACCAAATGACTCCTCCCACCATATTATGTTGTTGCCCAAGTTTTGGGCTCCATCCGAAATCAATAGGTCTAAGAAATTGGACAATTCAAGTTCAGTGGCAGTTCGTTCCTAATTAGAGTGGTTGGTGTATTGGGTAGTTCTAATGACAGGATTTCACTTAAAATTCACCAAATGAATCCTCCCACCATATTATGATGTTGCCCAAGTTTTGGGCTCGTTACGAAATCGATATGTGTAAGAAATTGGACAATTCAAGTTCAAAGGCAGTTCGTTCCTAATTGGAGTGGTTGGTGTATTGGGTAGTTTTAGAGATCGGATTTCAGTCAAAATTAACCAAATTACTCCTCCCACCATCTTATGACGTTGTAAAAGTTTTGTGTTCGATCCGAAATCAATAGGTGTAAGAAATTGGACAATTCAAGTTCAAAGGCAGTTCATTCCTAATCGGAGTGGTTGGTGTATTCCGCAGTTCTAGAGATTTGATTTCACTCCAAATTCACGAAATGACTCCTCCCACCATATTATGATGTTGCCCAAGTTTTGCAGTCGATCCGAAATCAATACGTGTAAGAAATTGAAAAATTCAAGTTCAAAGGCAATTCGTTCCAAATTAGAGTGCATGGTGTATTAGGTAGTTCTTGTGACCGGATTTCACTTAAAATTCACCAAATGACTCCTCCCACCATATTATGATGTTGCCCAAGTTTTGGGCTCCGAAATCAATATGTGTAAGAAATTGGACAATTCAGGTTCAAAGGCAGTACGTTCCAAACTGGAGTGGTTGGTGTATTGGGTAGTTCTAGAGATCGGATTTCTCTCCAAATTCACCAAACGCCTCCTCCCACCATATTATGATGTTGCCAAAGTTTTGGGCTCGATCCGAAATCAGTAAGGTATAAGAATTTGGACAATTCAGGTTTAAAGGCAGTTCGTTCCTAATTGGAGTGGTTGGTGTATTGGGTAGTTCTTGAGATCGGATTTCACTCAAACTTTACCAAATGACTCCTCCCGCCATATTATAATGTTGGCCAACTTTTGGGCCCGATCCGAAATCCATAAGTGCAAGAAATTGGACAATTCAAGTTCAAGGGCAGTTCGTTCCTAATCGGAGTGGTTGGTGTATTCCACAATTCTAGAGATCGGATTTCACTCCAAATTCACGAAATGATTCCTCCCACCATATTATGATTTTGCCCAAGTTTTGGGCTCGTTATGAAATCAATATGTGTAAGAAATTGGACAATTCAGGTTCAAAGGCAGTTCATTCCTAATTGGAGTGGTTGGTGTATTCGGTAGTTCTTGAGAACGTATTTCACTCAAACTTAACCAAATGACTCCTTCCACCATATTATGATGTTGCCCAAGTTTTGGGCTCGATCCGAAATCAGTAGGTGTAAGAAATTGGACAATTCAAGTTCAAAGGCAGTTCGTTCCAAATTGGGGTGGTTGGGGTAATTCATAGTTCTGGCGATTGGATTTCACTCACAACACACCAAATGACTCCTCCCACCATATTATGGTGTTGCCCATGTTTTGGGCTCGATCCGAAATCAATAGGTGTGAGAAATTGGACAATTCCAGTTTAACGGCAGTTCGTTCCTAATTGGAATGGTTGGTGTATAACATACTTCTAGCAATTGGATTTCACTCAAAACTCACAGCAGGTAGTCCACCTTCTTTTACCTCAGAAGTGACCCATTAAACACCTGCAATCTTGTGGAAAGCGATAGCCACCGAAAAAGTAGTTGAAAACACGTAAGGAAAACATCAGCACAGCACAGGGGCGACCGGTCGCTGATACCTTGCGACCGGTCGCTACGACCATTTGGATACATAGCGACCGGTCGCTGATACCTTGCGACCGGTCGCTTT